TAGGCTAGAATCAACAACAATACTTTAACAAAAGTTAAAATTGCAACGTACATTTCTCGATAAATCTGTTTCAATCTAATAACTCACTATTTATCAAATTGAAGCGAATGCTACACGAACACAATACTGGTTATTTCCTTACTATAAACCTCTATAAACTTCAACATATGATATTTATTTACAGTATATAGGTATTTAAAAAGTACTCTGTCTGTACTTACAGCTCACAGTATGTATGTTTTTGATAATAAATAAAGTAAATTCACAAGTTCACAGTACAAACAGGTTCACAGCTATAATATTATATTGTAGTATGTATATGTAGTCTTTGTTCACAGCACAGATTAAGTTAGCCAACATTCCACAGATAAGATTAGAATTAGAACTTTAGAAATGAAAATGAAAAGACAACTTTTCGATATTGTTGGATGCGTTCATAAATATTTATTTTATTCAAATATATATTTAGTTCAAATTATCAACCAAGTACGACCGGTTGTTTTTGCGTTCCCAACAGCAAAAAATTAAAAAACTGCGGTATCTGACCCAGCCAGTTTGGGAATTTTATTGCTAGTTCTTGAATCAGATGAATCAGTACGATTCGAGAGGTTTTTTGGATCGATTCAGTGAATCGATTTGGTGCTCGAAATCGATCTAAAAGATCGATTATTTTACGCCAAAGAATCGATTTTTCGATTAATCGATTTAAGATAGACATGCCATGCCTAGTCTGTGGTCACTTCGCTTCGGCCTTTGAACGGGGAGGTTGTGTTGCTTACGATCAGAATATACATTACGCAACAGGACGACGTAAAATTAAAATGGGAAATAACCGTAATAAAAATAAGAAGCGACTGGGTTGGCGTTAAGAAACAGACATAAATATGATAAACCTAATGAAATAAGTGTCTAACGACCTATCTAGTATAGTGATTACAAACATGTCGGTACATAGCAGATAGCATAGTGATAGAATTTGAGCTGACTTACTCTATCCCCTTAAGCTTTTTATCGCGTGGCCCGTAACTACTACCCGAGCTAATGTCCATAAAAATGTTTTTGCTATACACCAGCAAGCGTTGATATTGCAAACAGATCGTCCTCAGCTTTTCATAACTACAAGCTATGTATATGCTCGTCTTTTATTTGATAAGAGCAATTAACAGGTTTAGCACTGCTTAATACTCTTAAAAAGAGACCAAGCTTAATATCAGGTATTAAGACGCTACCCTGACCAAAACCTGGCGAAAGTGCGTTTTTCAGACTCTATTATCTCATTAGTTATGAAAAATAAACTACATCTAAAAGTACATTATTAATGTTCGATATCTTATCATCGCATTCCACGTTCTAATTTATTTTTATGTGCTATAAATACATTTAAAATCAACTTTTAAAAAATGACTAAAATTCTTGATTACATGCATCTGTTGCTAAACGCAACGCTCTAATCATTTGAGGATAACACTAATGGATAGATAATGAAAAAATCTATATTCTCCACGTTTTATTTAAATTTTTAAGTTCGTTTTTTCTCTTTTAATTGAAATAATTCCGAAAATTGTGTAACTTCTATGATAAAGGGGCGTGCGCAGAGTGCGGGCGGCATTACGCTGTATGCGTTTGTACGAGGTGGCCGCGTCGCTGGTCGCTGCGTCCGCATTTCGCCGCAAACATAATATTATTTGAGTACCTACCAACCGATGCGCTTACGTCACGGTATATTGTAACTCGGCCGTATCTTAGAAATAAATATTACAGCCGTGCGGTACGTAAACATGCGATAGGGCTGCTGCCTCCAGTATTTTTACATTTGCCCATTGATTTATGTGTTTTATAACTCAATGCATTTTCCTACTTTGTGTTTCCATTTAGTTTTATGATTGTACTTAAATATACTTTTTTTATATAAACAAACATAATAGGTACTTTGTGAATTGAATAGGAAGTGTTCAATAAAAATGCGTGTCGTTTTATGATTGGTAGATTTAATTAAAAAACCATGTTTATGTTTGAATAACAAATCGGTCTTATAAATTTGCGGCCGAAAAATATTTGCGCCTCGGCTGAGACGTACGAAATGCTTTATTATTAAAATTTTAAATATAAAAAATCCGCATTATAATATAAAGCTTAACTAAAAATTGTTTTGGGAAACATGGACAAGTTGGAGTAAAGGAATATCTTTTACTTGGTTATAGATACCTGCAGCTATTTTACAATTTATATGTTTGGTTTTAAATGAAGTTTGGATTTAGTATTTTTTTATTTCTATACTATTTTCTGAAAGGGTCCTAGGAAAGGAATTATCCACCGCGCTGCCCCACTGCGTGTTGGCGAACTTTGCATGTCTTCGTAATATTATTTTTCTTATTTCTCAGACATGCAGGTTTCCTCACAATGTTTTCCTTCACCACTGAGCACGTGGTAAATCAACGCTTAAAATTGCAATTACAATATTATTGGTGCCGGCGGGGATCGAACCCGGTTTGCTCGCACACTGTGAAAATTTTATCAAGCGCTAACCATCTGAGTTACCACGGCTCCTCTCCTCTCGAGCTAGAGACTTTATTTTATTTATCGTCAGGCCTGTTGGTCTAGTGGTTAGTGACCCTGACTGCTATGCCGTAGGTCGTGGGTTCGATTCCCACCCAGGACAAATGTTTGTGTGATGAGCAGTATTTGTTTGTAATTTATCTATAATATTTATGTATTTAGAAATATATAAGTATGTTTATCAGTTGTCTAGTACCCATAACACAAGCTCTGCTTAGCTTGGGACTAGATGGCGTTGTGTGATAGTTGTGGAATATTATGTTGGGGTATCTATATAGTTTTCTCATCTGGTTGGGTTCTATAAATATATAATTATAAATGAAAATGAAAAGATAAATATACATAAATATCAATAACATAAAATAAATATAAAAATACATAAATAAATAAAAGCCCAACCAGATGGAGGCCCTCGGCAGGGGAGACCAAACGGCCGAGGGTTAGGGGGAAAGGGAAAGAAACCGGCGGACGATGCGGGCGGTATCGAGGAGCACCGCCTTCTGCATTTGAGCCCGGAGCGGTCCGCCACGTAGTCCCAGTCGCCTCAGATGACCCGAGAGGCTGACTGGGATTAGCCCGTTTGCAGAGACGACTACAGGAATAATTTCGGTCGGCAGACCACCCCACATGTCAGTCACCTCGTGAGCCAGGTCCAGATATTTTGTTTGCTTGTCTGTTTCGGCTTTCACGAGGTTCTCGTCATACGGAATGGCAATGTCGACCAAAAATATCCTTGACTGTGCCCGGTCCATCAGCACAATATCAGGCTTATTCGCAAGAATAGTCCTGTCTGTGATGATGGCCCGGTCCCAATAGAGCCTGGCGCGGTCATTTTCGAGCACGGCTTCCGGCAAGTACTTGTAATACGGCAATTTCCGGTCCACGAGACCGTATTTCAGAGCGAGCTCCTGGTGAAGAATTCTGGCTACTAGGTTGTGCCTGTGCAAGTACTCAGAGTTAGAAAGCGCCGAACAACCGGAGATGACATGCCTAAGTGACTCACCGGGATGGCGACAAGCTCGACAGATGTCCACGGTGCCATCCTTTAGGATGTATCTCCGATAGTTGTTGGTCTTAATAACCTGATCCTGTATTGCACAGACAAAACCCTCGGTTTCCCCGAAGAGATCACCGAAGCGTAGCCAGTAGAGGGAGGCTACTGTGTCTACGAAAGGCTCATGTAGAGCCTTGTAGAACCTACCGTGGAGCTCCTTCTCCTTCCATACGTTCTCCCGGTCGGAAATTGTCTGCACTGCCGGGTCTTGCCATTGCTCGTTGGCTAAGGATAGAGGGGTAAGTCCTTTATCACTAACAAATGACGTCCTTATAGAATGGATCATCCGATCTCGCCAGGAAGTAATTACGGAGGCTGCACACTTCGCGATTATGCATGGTGAGCGCGCTCAAGAAGCCACGCCCACCATGCTTTCGCGGCAAGTACAGCCTCATTACCGACGATCTCGGATGATGCATCCTGTGGGACGTCATGGTAGTGCGGACTTTTCTATCCAGGGCGTTAAGTTCAGTCTGAGTCCACCTGAGTATGCCAAAGGTATACATGAGGACAGGCATGACCCAGCCGTTATATGCGTGTGTCTTATTCACACCGGACAAAAGGCTGTTAAGCACTTTGGTCAAGCGTGCATAAAACACGTCGCAAACTGACTGTTTCATACCAGCCTCATCGATACCGATGTTCTGTGACATACCCAGGTATCGGTATGTTTCAGCCTCGGAAAGGGTCCTTAAGTTGACGGGCATAGATAAGTCTATGCCCTCAGAGTTAGCAACCCTCCCCCTTTCAACATGGAGGACCGCACACTTATCCGTTCCCAGCTCCATTCCAATAGAATTGCTAAATTCACAAGTGATGTTTAGTAATTCCATAAGATGGGAGCGACTGGAGGCGAATAACTTGAGGTCATCCATATAGAAAAGGTGGGTCACTTTTGTACCTCCTTTCCGAAGCTGAAATCCCCTCCCGGAGCCCTCCAGTAAGGTACTGAGAGGGTTCAGGGAGAGGCAAAACCAGATTGGACTCAGACAATCGCCCTGGAAGATACCCCTTCTTATCCTTATGTGGTTCTCCGCAGCCATCATCCGCTCGCCCAGATAGCAAAGGATCGTACTCCACTGCCCCATACACTGCTCGAGGAAGTCTCCAACTGTACAGTCAATCTTGTACAGCTGGAGGACTCTCTTTAGCCATGTATGGGGCACCGAGTCGAATGCCTTTCTGTAGTCTATCCAGGCGGCGGAGAAATTCCGACGGTTGCGTTTCACCACTTTGCCAATGACCGCGTCAATGAGGAGTGGTTCCTTGGTTCCACGACCACCGCCCCGGCATCCATTTTGAGCGCGTGACATCACCTGATTTAGCTCCAGGTGACGAGTGATTCTCGCGCTCAAAATGGATGTCAGTGTCTTATATATGGTGGGTAGACACGTGATGGGGCGGTATTTGCTCGGGTCTGTGGTATCCTGATCTTTAGGAACCAAGTGAGTGATCCCAGTAGTGAAGAGGCTCGGGAGCGACTTCTGATCGAGAGCCTCTTGAAACTGTCGGGCGAGCACAGCGTGACACACTACGAACCCCTTCAGCCAGTAATGATGCAGCCCGTCGAGCCCCGGACTTTTCCAGTTCGGGGCCCTACGGACCGCCTCAGCCACGTCTTCAGGCGTTATGGTGACGGGGTCCATAGGCGTAACACTTGCACTCTGGCTCGCCACAACTTCCATCCAAGGGCCCTCGCTGTGGTTTACGGGCTCTGACCACAGGCCACGCCAAAATGCGACAGTGTCAGCCTGATCCGGTCCTGGGCCCGCTCCACATACCTTTGGTCGCTCCAATGTTTTATAGAGCCTCTTCTGATCACTCTGGAAGAGACGATTCTGGTTGAACCGCCTTGACCTCTCGCTAAATCGTCGAATCCGCTTCCCCCAAGCAGCGATTTTTTGCTTCAGGTCATCTATGCGCTCCGTTAGTTTTTGCGTGATATCCGGCTGGAACAAATTGATATTTGTCCCAGCAAACGCCATCCTAACGGTGCGCATAATCCTCGGTCTATTATTACCCGACCTGAAGCTTGTCAGTCTGCCGATAAGGGCCCTTGCCTTTGCGATACGGTCCTCAATTCTTTTTCTCCAGGCTGGGATGGCGCTACTTTTTTGAGTAGCACGTCCAGCCACGGGAAGTTTGGCGCCAATAATACGGCATACTGCCAGTGCGGCGCCAAAAAGAATTGAATCCGTCTCGCAAAGGTCCCGGCTGGCTTCCAAATAGGTCACCAGCATTGGGTTAAGAGCCCGCACGACAGCCCGATTTCGCTTGCTAAGGGGTATGCGGGGAAGTCGCGGTCGATTTTCGAGAGGCATGCTGCGCGTTTCCAGCATCGACTCTTCCAATATGCTCCTCATTTTCTCTAGTTCGTGGGAGACTATTCCATCATCGTCTGAATTAGCCACAAATGGAATGTTGACGGCAGCATCCACATATGCAGTTTGTTGCGCATCTAGTGGCGCCGCATTCCCAGCCGTAGCATTTCCATTCGATGAAGGAATAGCCTCACGTCGTAGTCGCTCGAGTTCGGCGTCACCAAATATGTTGGAGCGCAGGATGTACCTAACTCGGTCTGCCAGGTTTTGCTCAGTGACGGATAGAGATGGCTCCAGCTCTGCAAAAAAGCGATGCATCCGAGCCCGATACGCCAAACATCCAGTTTCTTCCCCTTTTGCCCTAAAATACGCCCGCAGTGCGTTTTCATTCATTGATTTAGACCAACGCATGCGACGTGCTCCACCAGCGGCGGGTGCCGCTTGCTGAGTCCGAGAAGACCCAGCCGACACCAAGCCTTCTGGTGGGGATGATGGATGCGGGGGGCTGCTAGGTGGTCTTGCAACACCCCGCGCTCGGCTGGCGGCCCGCATGCTGTCGCGTCCAGCGCCAGCTCCAGACGCGCCCTGGCGACCTCCAGGCAGCGGCCCTTTGCGCACTATCTTTTTCTCCATCATCCATAATATGGGCGTCCATTAACGGGAGACGCCCAGGCCCGGCACCGTATCGTGGACGGCCATAAGCACAAACGGGCCTTTGCACCCTGAATTCTGCCGAGGCACGGCGCTTACACCTCTCGCAAGGCGCTGACTGACTGCGTTGACGTAGCAGTTTTGTCACTTAACTGTTACGTCAGCGGGCGATGGGGTCGTCAATTCCCTACGCCATTGAATTTTATTATTATTATATTATTATTGTTGGGGTATCTGTATAGTTTTCTCATCTGGTTGGTTTTTATAAATATAAATTAAAATTAAAAGATAAATATACATAAATATTAATAAAATAAAAAAATACAAAAAATATACAAATAAATAAAGATCCAACCATATTAAATAAAAAATAGTCTCCTATCTTTCTCTCTATGTTTTGATCTCCTAAAACGAGTTTGAGTTGGTAAAATCAAGGCAAACTTAGGGTAGGGTTGTCAATTATTATTTTGATAATAAAACTAGTGAAATTCCGCGGTTTTATATGCGCAAGCGTGAACGTAGTTAGAACATAATATAACCTTTATATTTTACATAAATATCCTAAAAAACTTATTATTTTAATATTTTACTAAGTACCTATAAAATTAACAAGTTTATTGCATTTTTATTTGAGTAATTTTTTATGCAATTTCTTTATCTACGTCTATTTTTAGGAACCTTTATTTAGTCTGAATCATACATAACACTATATTACTGATTTACTTACTTATACGTAGTTTTTTTTTGCAGTTACAAATATCTTGTGAGGTTGAAAAAGGTAGTAATGAAAAAATAATAAGAATAATAATAATTGACGTCAGCAACCACTTTTCATATTGTCATGGTCCATTAGGTTGCAGCTTCACCGAACCACAACTTATAATAATAATAATAACAGTAATAATATAATATTATTTTGTTTTTATTTTATTTTATTGATATTAATGTATATTTATCTTTTCATTTTAATTTATAATTTTTATATATTTAAATATTTATATAACCGAACCAGATGAGAAAATTATACGGCTCCAACGATTTTAGCGACGAACGCTTGGATTTATTTTTAGAAAATGTCCTTTTGTCCATGTTTTCAGGCAATAAAAAAACTGCTACAATATAAGAAGGTAAATTTCGACTAATCATTAACGGTCGTTATAGCTCAGGTGGTATGTCGGTCGGGCGTGATATCGGAGTTCCGTGGTTCGCGTCTTGGCTTTGGTCCCGCTTTTTTTCCTTTTTTTTCAAGTTCCCTTCTTTTGTGAGAAAATCTATTATTTCAAACCCTTTTTTTTTAGTAATTTTTAAAAATACGAAAATTTTAATTTTAAAAAAACTAAAAAAAAATATCTATTTAGTTACTAATGCTATATTTATTATTTTAATAATTACCTACCCAGTAGGTAAATATTAAAATAATAAATGTAGCATTATAAACAGTAAATCTCCCTCAAACTCAATTTACTAATATTGCTCCTAAATAAGGAATAGCAGATAAAAGATTAGTAGGTAATAACTATTGCTCCTCAAAATTATATTTGACCTCAAGGTAAAACATATCCTAAAATTCAGTAGCTAAATAAAATAATAATAACTACTATTCAAGTATATTTTCAATATGTAAGTAAATGAAAATAACAAAAATGAAGCACCATTAGCATGTAAAGTTCGAATCCATAATTAATATTTCGACAAATATTATAATTTACACTATAAAAAGCTAATTCAATATTAGCAGTATAGTATATAGTTAAAAATAATCAAAATAGTCATTTTTATTAATTAGATAATATATTAGAATACATAATTCTAATATAATGCAACTAATATACCGAATAAAGAAAATTAAAATACATTTATCATTGTACGCCGTGTCTATTTCCATAGAAGAGTTCATTGACATTGAAAAAATAATACTACGTTCGTAGCAGTAGGTGGCGTCTTTTGGCGATTTCTTACGCGATATATTGTAGCGAGCGTCGACAGACCAAACGCTCAAGGTCGTTCGCTGGAGGTAGCGCCTTAATACAAACAACCAAAAATTCTAAAATTAGTGATCCGCCCGGCTCCGCACGGTTAATTTTTGGATCTCGACAATAGGTTCACCTACCAGGTCCAATTGTGAATCTAAACCAACCAGGTACCCACTTAAATATACAAAAAAGTTCATCAAAATAGGTCGAGCCATTTTCGAGTTTTTGTGAAACCAACGCACGGCATTTGTTTTTTATATACTTATTAGGATAATATAAACAAAATTTATGCGTGTGTGCGTCTGTCTGTAATATCGAAAATATAAGGAGTGATATATGCTATATTTACGCGAAAAACTAGATTTTTTTGAGAAATCGAAAAATTCATACAGTAAAAATTGTCTTTAATAATTTTATTAGATCTGTAAAACGCCTTAATATTAGATCCAGGTGAAGGGCGTCGCTTGTTGTCAATAAATTAACATTGATACGTTAATTTGTATCCGTAATGCAAAGTTAATTTAATATGCTCAGCTTTACTTAAAATCTAACGAGCTGAAAATAGCTACACATAATAATAAATTAACGCCTGTCGGGTTCAAGGGCAGTCAATCTTCGCATCGACTCAAACCTCATTGATTTCCACCTACGTCACCTACTGACAAGGATACGCTTCTTCACATATATGCTGCTCCACCAGCGCCCCCTCCTCGAAAAAGCCTCCCCCCGAGTCCGTTACTAGGAGTCCATGAGGCTAGGAAATTAATGACTCGAAATAACCAGACTTCCCCCCAGCAGTAGTTCTGATTTGATATTGAGATCGGCGCCTCACAATACCGACAGGACTCTATCAGTGGGCTCACTCAGTCCTATCGGACCAGCCATGTCTGGTTTTGACGTCCTTCACCTTGGACCAGCTAAGTGGGTTTCACTGTGTTCGCTTTAGGTCAACAATCCATGACTACTAAGCCTTTCCGTCGCAACAATGGTCTATCCATATAGGAGTACTTATTTCTTTAGGATTTCTCAGCACTACTAAAACAATAAACGTCTTTCCACTTTAATTAAACCCTGTCTATATTTTCATTAGCGATCCCAAGTCAATATAACGTGGCACAACCGACAACCTTTGGGGAATATAAATAGATAATTAAAAAAACACAGTACATCCTAATAATGTACTTATTTTGTTAGTTTTTCCCCATGCAGCTATTTAGTTGTTGAGTTGCCAATTTATTTTAATTAACAGTCTCCAGACAATGGATTAAGGTCTTTTCTATGGGTAAACTACTTAGTTCGATAACTGACTTTACGCATCTTTAATCCTTCAACCGTCTTGCCTAAATCAAACCTCAATTTAGATAGAGGACGACTCGTATTTCGTTTATTACGCCGTAGCCTTCATTATATGACACATTCACTGTCTACTTGCCATTTTAGTTAGTAGTACTTACGGTGGTCCATTGACGGCCTCGTTAGTCCAGTGACTGTAAATGCGAATGCTAATAATGAGCTTCCGTGTTCGAGTCCCGGGTCGAGCGTGACGACTCTATAACGAAATAAATTAGTTATAGAGTTTTTCAGTTAATAATTTCTCAGTATGTTCCCGGAGTCAGGACAGTGTCACATCGCCGTGCCTGCGCCTGCCGCGCGCGTGAAAGCACATAAAGCCGTTGGTCTCGTGTCGGTTTACCATCCCATCGGACTATGAGAGTGAGACAATAGAGAACTTATGCTTGCACATACACTTGGGCACTATCCTGTCCTGCACCGATGCCTACTCTTAGTTAAGCTGGCCGCCGTGACCGAAATCCGTTCTGGAGGACATTATATATGTAAGTTTTTTTTAATTTAGTTGTTTTTATATCGATAAGGCAATTATTATATTATTATTAGTCCATTGCCATTTTAATAAGCTAACATTACTAGATCTCTGCACCAGATTTCTTGAAAGTGAAACTCATTCACTGGAAAACGCTAGCAAAGCTCTTTATATCTTGTAATGGCATATCGTAGTGTCCACGTTTTGTTCCTAGAATACGGGTGACAAACAACTGCACAGTCCACCTGATGGTAAGTGGATGCTGTGGCTCATATAGATCTACGTCAATCCTCGATTAAGAATCAAAATGTAGATGTGTTGTCACGACTGAGGACAAACAAGGTATGCCTCTTTGCCAGTAAAAAGGGTCTCCAGTTCTCTACACTCACCATTTAAAACACAGCAGCATTAAGCTGCTATTTTACGCTGGAATTCTGTGAGAGCGTAGTCTTTTCCCGGTCGAGTTGATCCATTCGTGCTACCAGCATAAAATAGATGCTGCCAAAATATCCACATTTTGTTTATGGCATCATAGATGATTTGAGGCAGGACTATATATCTATGTCTATACTCAATTTTATATTTTTCCAAAATGAAAGAAGATGCCTGAAATTTTTAACCAATTGAATATGCAAAACTACTCATAAAATAACATAAAACAGTCATCCGTTGATTTCCCATGCGGACATTGATGAAGCGCAATATTTCGGCAAAAGAAGCATTTACTGAGGGAATTCTCATGAGTTTCAACGAATGTCAAGGAGTACTAAGTGTTTATGTGATCTGGTAAAAATCAATATCGTAAGTATATTTTAAAATTTTAATTTTATGTTAACGTTTGTTATTTTTTTGTATTCCGTCAGGATCATAGGATAAAACCTTTAATTTCGATTCGTGGTTTTTATGGAAGACCTTGTGGCTTTCAAGAGTGGAGGATGCAATCATATCGTTCTAGCTGAAGTTAAATACTCAAAATGGCGAAAGGGAGCAGCGAGAATAGAGAAGTCAAGATCAAAACCCCCGACAAAAAAGGATTTAAGTAACGAAAGACAAGAATAGACAACTAATAATATAATACCATAAAATATATCTATATACGATATGATTCTTTTTGAAATAAGTCATGAAACTAGAGCTTATTTTGTCGGGTGAAAAATTATAAAAAAATTATTCTGCTAACAGATTTT